CTCTCCTTCAAATGGCCGAACGTATCCCAACGATAGCCACTCAGCTTAAGGTGTGCTCTACGGTCAAATCGACAATGTTCGGAACTTCAAGTGAGTATTATCGATTGCTATTGATTGATTTATCCTTTGGAAGTTTCACATTCTTTGGGCTCTTCATTCTGTTTGAGTAGACGCTAGCATTTGTTTCTTGACTCTTCGCAGGATGTACGTAATTGCACACGTACTGTGCAAATAGAGGATGGCATGGGGCGCCTAGTATCGAGTAGTCAAAGATCGTCGGCACAGTAACATTGGGAGTCAATTTGAATAGGATAGTAGTCCGATCGTTGCAGGACCTACTCTAATAAGGAGGTGGGCGCCATTTCAGAAGGGCAGTCCACTGGGTCGGGAATAGAAACGATTTGGAACCCGGCGATGCCCTGGAGTATGGGGGGATGAATCTGATTTTTTTTCCACAGAAAGTGCCGCGGTTCTGAATGCGCACCAAAGTGCCCCTCCTTATTGGACTAGAGCCCAGGATAGCCCAATCGTAATCGTGCTACGCATACATCCGCCAGCTATAAAAATGTTGGTCAAATGGGCGCAGCGAAAAGCCGTTAAACTATAGCTAACCTATCCCTCAATCAATATATTGATCTAAATCGATTTCTGTTATATTTCCAGTGATTGGACCATATGGAGAACAAGTTGACGGTAATTATAACTTTCTTTATAAGAACCCAGCATGTGATTCTCTGTGATATGACTTTCACTAACAAAACGAGTGTGATCCCAAGTGTGATACTATTGGTATAAAATGATATAAAATCAAATTCCGCGCTGAGCATAGGGGCGGAGTCTCTTAGATCATTGTGTTGTGCTCATTCATGTGCCTGCTCTTTGCCATTTAACAAATAGGGACCCATTGATGTGTCCGGCATACCCGCATGACTCCGCCCAGACTGTCAGCACCGAGATACCTCTAGGTCAATGTCCTGGATGATTTATGTATTCAGAGGGGTCAAATTTGGCCATTCCATGCTCCCAATCCACGTAAACCTGGTTTCCGCAAAGTAGTAGCTTATTTTTCGGGCGCGTGACCGTGAGACTAGGGGGGTGGGTGTAAAAAATGTTTACCCAAGGCAAAACACTCCACACGTGCTCTTGTAAAAATGTCTTAGTGTACTTACGTCCTTTACGAAAAGTACGAACAAGACAAATATTTTTACAAATCGGTGTTCTCTTTGAAGCATGAAGAAGTGCAGTTCCTCACGTATTTGACAGTCCACTGCCGCGCGCGTTTGCAACGCGGCTGATGGTTCTGCGCAATTACTGCGACACTTTCGGTGAAGACATGGAGCGAGATTCTCAAGAAATCGTAGCTTATTGTAACCGGTTGATGGTGTGAAGAAACCGGATCACCCATATTATACAACTACACCTGTCTATTCGTCTGCTCTCTCTCATTGAGATAGTGTTGCGTGTGTGACATTGGGTGATACTACTAGCAAACTGAACGAAGTTTTCATAGCGAGGTCCAAACTAGCCGCTTGGTGCCCCATAATGTGCACGAGAAATTGTTTTAGGGACAGAATGACACATTCCGCGATCACCGAGTGGGCGGGCTCAACTGCCATTGTACCTTCCTCATTTGAACGCTCCTGCATACCGTATTAGGAAATGAGCGCACCAAAGAGGAAGACACACTTGCCACGGGTTCCCGACGACTTCTCCGCCCATCCGGTTATCGCGGAACTCGTCTTTGGTGTACAATTTCTTCTGAACTTCAACTAGGGTGGTAAAAGTAACTACATATCTTCTTGTGCCTATCTGTGCTCCCTGAACTTCTTACCTTTTCTTAACAGAGTTTTGAAGTGAATACAACAGCATGAGTCTCCTATCAATTTCTACAGTAATCAGCTTACCGTATTTCGGTCGTTACAGGTAGTGAAGAGGATATCGAAGCCATGGAGCAGTTGGCACACAATGCGCAGAATCTCATGCTGGCTGTCAAGGATACTGTACGAGCTGCTGAAGCGGCCAGTATTAAAATTAAGACCAATTCCGGTCTTCGCCTTCGTTGGGTTCGCAAACCGATGTGGTCCAACTTCTAAGCTCTTTCCTTCGAAAACCGTCGCCATCGCCGCCACCAACGTCGCCGCCACCGTAGTCGCTCAATTCCTATCGCGCGCGCGCGACAACTGTATGCGCGCGATATAACCCTTTTCCAAGTCCTTTCATTCATCCATCGCACATCTTCTGCTGCTCGTCTCTGCTTATTATTGATTTTTGATAGTTATCCTAGATTACTCTAACGCATAATATTCAGTTTTTCAATGTGCTGGTTGATCGCTAAGTGCCTTTTTTCATCAGCATCTTATATAGTTTACCCGCTCATCACACTCAATTTCGTGTGCATTTTTGTGCAATTTTACGTGCACCTACCGTATGTCTGATCACTGCCTTCGCCACACAGCACTCATCACCACCGAACTAATCGATTATCGATTATATCATCGACGAAACTAGTCCACATCTTTAGCTCATACATGCATACACATTCTATATGTTGTCATACTGTACATTTTTCTATTCATTAATTCTACCAACAGAGAGACAAATTACAAACACCCACACAGAAGAAGAAGAAGATGTTTTTATATATTTTTATGTGTACATGCTGCGAATGAATATTTGTAATGAGATGGGTTGTTTTGAAATCGATAATCGATTTAGGACGTTTACAATTCGAGTACGAAAAAGAAGCAGACACGAGGTGAATTTAATCAGAAGCAGCTGGCCGCCTCGTACATTCGAGAATCCTTCAGCGGGGGTCTGCGAAGGGAGGGGGAGTAGTATGTGACCTGAGAAGAAATTTTTTTTCGATAGTTAATTTTTCCCATTTTCCACGCGCTACCCCCACCCACACACAGCCCCGATTCACGGCAGTGATGGTTGTAGGATCGCAAAAAAAGGGGGGGGGGAAGGAGTAAAAGGATAAAAAAGGATAAAGTCTTCGCCGTTGATCAATCCCTTTGTGGGATGCGGCACGCATTCTACTTCCATTCAGAATCGTAGTGGCTTATTGAATGCGATGTGGCCTATACAATGACTTGCGGGGCCAGCCGATGTACAAGTCAGTGTTTTATCCTCCCAGACAAATCTGGTACCAATTCAATGTCCCGGAGAGCAGAAGCCTAGCGGGAGTCGACCCGGGATTCGAACCCAGGTCCGCACGAAGTGGTGAGCGCGCCACTTGTCACTACACCACCTCCTGCCCCAAGTAAAACTAAAGGGGAGAGTAAAACAGGATGAAATTTGGGGGGTGGTCGCTTTCCAAAAATTTTCTCAGCAGCAGAACAAATTCCTCAGCTAGCGAGCGATTTCAGATACCCCTTATTTATTTCCACCTCAGTGTCGTCCAAACCGACGAAAGGACTTTTCGTTCATGTAGCCCGATAAGAGATACGTGGAGACCAGCAAGGTAGTATGTATGGAGGTTAGTTATCAACAGGAAGACACCTTTGACTTGAGGGCATCATCCACGTTGATGACAGGGGGTGTCAGGCCCTACCATTGCGGCTACTCTACACTGATGCTCTTTTCTTTCTACAATAGTAGTCGAGAAGAAGGCGTGTGCAGTCAAGAGAGCGCAATGGGAAGCTTGGTTCCACACGCGGCCGCCGTGATCTGTACATGGTTCATTTGAAATTACTTTTTTCTTGTACCGGCTTCCAAAAAATTGCATATATTGGAAGCCCTTGGATTGCTTGATTTTTGGAAGATGCGAAAATTGACCACCTTCTGCTCGGCTGTCCTGAATATGCTTGCTATATCCGTGTAGTGGTGTATCAGTTGAGTAAATCAGCGCGTCTAAAGGGATTGGTTAAGGAAAAAAAACCGAACATTTTGCCGATCGCAGATCGAAGGAGCTGGAGGTCAGCCAGAGGGGTGCATGTGCTACCTGACGAGCCCATAGAAAAAAAGCAGAGGAAACCGTCGCAAAGGTCCTGAATAAACATTTTTCTGTTGCAGTTAATTTTAGGCGAGTTGCCCAGACTTTGAACTTTTAGGGACGAGACTAAGCAGCGCCTACAAAGGAGGTACAAAACGTGCTAAAGGGCGGGACATCAGCATGCGAGTCATTTTCGTGTGTAGTTAAAGTTAATTGAGCGGTTTTGCGCTTTGGCGCCAACAATTTGTCTCTTAACACAAATATTTTTCAGAAATCGGTAGGGACTTGAAGAAATCTGGCAGGATGGGAGATGTGTGCCGACGGAGAGGAGGGTTACTGGAACAGGGACTTTCTAAAATAGGATCGCACTGGCGGAGGAACTTGGCAAAATGGTGGAAAGGATCATGAGAGGGGGTCGTACTTGAGAGGATATTCTGGGAGGAGGTATGCTGATAGCCGCCATTCACCCAGATTGCCTATACCCTGATCTGCAGGTCCCTTCGCGGAGCAGTACGTGATCGCTGCAATAGGGGGGAGGTCGCCAGTACATAGGTGGGCATAGTACTTGGCTTCAAGAAAAAAATTTTTCCAATTGCTCTTTCCCGTTCCAAGCACGCTATATAACCACCCTACGGCGGAGTTGCAAAGACACTCCTGGTAGTTGATGGAAGATGCCTGTCCATGGGAGACGGGCAAGAGAATCGTAATTTGCCGCTCCGCCGCGCGCAGCGATAGGCACGGCCTTTTCTTAACTCGTGTTAACCTGTCAATTGAAAAACGGGACTTCATGTAGACCCCGTCATAGTAGACACTACCCCTTTCCCCCCCCCCCCCTTTGACTGTTTTCGGCTCTGAATTGCCTGTTGTCGCCATCTACTACCTGGAACCATCGTCATTTAGCAGGCGCGACGTCGCACGCGACGCCCACCAGCGCGGTGAATTACGATTCTCTTGTCACAGACCCGCCTGTCCATCACCTCTCAGCCCTACTTTGTGGAATTTATGGAGAAATTTGGTTACATTTAGGTGTGGTAAGGGAACAACGGATTGTTGAGTTCTAGGAGGGCTGCTTTCATCTTCTGGACGACCGTACACTTGGTTCAGATTCCATCTGATTCTAAGTCGAGGACATGGCGCAGGCAAAGGTCTAATCAACGCAAAGCCCGTCAACGCCATTTGTCAATTCTTTGAAAGATATACTGCACACCACCGCCGAGGACTGGTCCCTGGTAAATGCGAGACGAATGGATCCGCAGCTGCAGCGTACCACGTTTGCCGCACAAGAGTGTACGGGAACGGGGCTAAAGGGGGTGATACTGTGCTGCCGTCACTATACTCTGCCTGCGCCATCATCAAAGTGCAGCACTTGCGCATCGATACCAAGGTCCTGCAGCGAAACACGCACTCAGTGGTGGAGAATAACCAGAACTGAGAGGGTGCAGGCAATTAGCGCGTTTCGCTATGGTTAGGTGGAGCTAGTACACCCTCCAGCCCCGTTCCCGTGCCCTTTTGGCCGGGAAAAGTGGCACGTTATTGCAGCTTAGGACCGATTCACCCCCCGCAAACGGCAAGGAGAGGCTCAGTGGAGGTGAGCGTACAATTTGTTGCCGAAGTGTCATCCCTACTGCCTTTGATGATGCTAACGATCTACAAATTGAAGTCAATAAATCTTCTTCTGTCGAAACGTTGTTGAAAATCGTTTGTCAATTTATTCCACACGTCAATGTGACAATCATAGCGATTACTGTAGACATAGACAGAAATAGTATTCATGAGTTATTATTATAGCTCTTTCTGGAAATTTAGAAATTATTAGACGATATATGCAGACTTAGACTGTAATATAGAGAAGAATTGGGTCTACAGTTTCAAAGAAGACACAGCGCTAAAGAACAGCGCCTTCATTTTTGCTTGGATTCATTGCCATGTTTGTTCAGAATTTTGCTCACACTCTCCACATGTTCGATTTCTTTATTTAGATCAGCTTGACGAGCTTCAATGTCCGTAAGAAGGTTCCTTGTCTGAAAAGTGTCACCTAAAGACACATGTCGTCAATGCCTGATGAGCAGAATTCCCTCCTTCTGCAGGAACAATTTGGTCCAGAATTCGCAAACGTTAGTCACTTCCGTGGCTTAACAGTAAAGAATAGGGCGCTGCGGACGTCACTAGCCAAAGAAGCCTCACCCTTAGAAGCTGCCCCACTCCCCTGGCCCAGTATATGCCAATGGTCCATCCTATGGCTACTTTTATGAGCACAAGTGGCCATCGTCCGTTCCTGTATCCAGGCTATCGATCTATCAGATCTACTGATCCAGGTCCCAAATAGGCTGAAATTGCTCACATTTGTTAATTCCATTTCGAGCCGTTCCACAAAATTACACAATGGTGTCATAAGCATTAGTATAGAAGCTCGATTAATAGTCTGAAAAGTCTCAGAATTATTGATTGAAAGGCGTCCTATTGATCTGATTCGATTTTCAAGTGGCCAATGTACGGCGAGGAATCAGTAGCTTTTTGTCAACAGGCCAAGCTGGTGGTGCCTTTTTCATTAGTGATCCTTTTCTTTATAATACGGCAAGGAGCAGGGACTCGCCAACAAGGAAGATGAGGAAGGCGAATTGCTGTTTGTCCCGCCCACCCGATTAGCGTGGACTGTACCTCTAACCATAAGACCGGTGATGACAAATCTGCAGAAAGGCGTTTCCTCATAGTAGGTCTAGGAGCCGTAGAAATATCCTCATATTCACCAGAACCCATGACTTGGAAGGAAATGCTGGTCCTTACTTACTCCTTTTTCGATCAATTTTATGTGAGCTTCCATTTCTTTCATTAAGTATCTTTCTTCAGCTTCACGCACTGCCCGCACATCGTCGTTCACCTCAACAGGCAGGGTTGAAAATTAAGAACATCTATTAATGTTATCACTAAGTGTGCCTGTTGGGTCTGCTGCTGTGTGTATGTTATGTATGTATGTGTGTGTGTGTGTGTGTGTTTGTGTGTCTGTCCTGGTATGTCTGTTTGACCAGGAGAATTCACAACTTTCTTCAAAACAGCGATAAAAGCGCCTCAAATGATTAAGTGATGGGAGGGAAGTCGGGCCCAGAAACATTATTGGCTGGATGGCGAGGGGAAGTGATAACAGTTGATAAGATACCATAAGGGGCCTCAGAAAGGGAGGAGCACCAACTTCATAACGCGCGTCACAGCAAGGCTAGAGCGTTGGTTTCAAGAAATAAGATAGGGGGCAGGATGGAAACATTATTGGTGGGTGGCAGGAAGTGATAAGAGCTGATAAGATACCATAAAGAGCCTTAGAAGGAGTGGGTCACCTAATTTGTAACACCGGCCAGAGCAAGGACGGGACGTTGGATCCAAGTAGTAAGATAGGAGCAGGGTTGGATAATTATTGGTGGGTGGCAGGAATTGATAAGAGCTGATAAGATACCATAAGGGGTCTTAGAAAGCGAGGGTCATCAAATTCATAGCACCGGCCACAGCAACAACGAGACATTGGTTCTAAGAAGTAAGACAGCAGGCAGGGGTGGGAACATTATTGGCGGGTGGCAGGAATTGATAACAGCTGATGAGATAGCCAGGAAAATTCAAAGCAGAGTTGTAGCAACACTGGGAACTGCTCCAGCAAGTAATTCAGAGGTGCTTAGGGAACATTAAAGGTGGAAGATAAATTCTGACAGTGTCCTACAAGGGCTTTTGGGAGTCCGTATCTGCTCACATCACCGTAACCAAAGAATCAATGGGCGAAGGCTTAGTAAGTCAAGATGTTTCCATTAGTAAAATCCCTCAGTTTAGCGGTCGGAATTGCTTCCACCGCTAAACGCTCGAGTTCCCCGAAAAAAGGATGTTTGGAGTTGTTGCCAGTGAGGAATGATAAGAGCCCCTATGATTTCAATATTTTTACCATCGGAATCCTTCCAACCGCTATGCTGTCCTATTTCCAACGAATGGTGCTTTTAGAAATATGATAAGAACCTAACATTGGCAAGTGTTCATTAAAAGGGAGAAACATGATGAAATGGGCCGTTTTGGAAACATAGGAATTAGGGTAAGTGTTAGTGCTCAGCACAGGAATCCTGTCAGTTATCAGTAACAGAAGGTTTAACCATGCGCGCAGAAATGTGCGTCAGACTGGTAATTAACCAGACTGGTAATTATTAACAGGTAATTGGCCAGACTGGTAATTATTAACTGGTTTAGTGACCAACGATCATTTTTAGCCGGAGTTAAAAGTAGACGTCTCTCTGGTCACTTACTTCGCGTAAATTAAAAAGTCAACCCGCTATGATAGCGAAGGAGGAGGTGACATGAACGTCATGACCCTTGCAGGGTTGGCCGTTAATGGCGGCAAAGGGGTTTAAAGTGAATTTGGCCGACTGTATATCATCCAAGCCTTGCCCTCTACCCTTCCGAGACGGTAAGTTGGTGCCAGATTCGTCTCGGCAGGAGGAATAAAACACTGACTTGTACATCGGCTGGCCCGCGCAAGTCATTGTATAGGCCACAACGCACATTGAATAAGCCACTGCGATTCTGAATGGAAGTAGAAGGCGTGCCGCATTCCAGAAAGGATTGATCAACGGCGCACTTCTATCCTCTATTCCTTTCATAATCTTTCGATCCCTACAACTATCGAGAACTTCCTCGGGAGCGATCTGTCAAGCATAATCTGATATCTTCTTCTATGGAGAACCTACTGCTCCCCTAGACGGCAGGAGTCATTAACTGACTAGTCTCGCAGTTCGCCGCGCTAGACTGCACTGCCACGTCCGTAAAATGGTCTTTCTTCGCACCCCTCTCCCAATTTCCCTAACAAAATATGCCGGCGACAATCACAACATAATCTCGGGCACTATCTCTGTGAGAGAGCGCAGACAAACAGAGATTTGTCATGGTTGCGTGGTCTCGCTTAACCACCCCCTTCCCCCCAAACGATATTTGCTCTCATTCTAGTCTATTTGGAACTTACCACCACAAAAGACTTGTTTTGTTTTGATTCACCAATTAGTGACAAGCCGTTAATCTGGCGATCAGCTATCTCTGAAACCGGTACTACAGCCAGACAACCCTTATACGATTGGTTGATACGGTAGTTACTACCTCACCTTTCATTCGTTTCAACGCATCGACTTCGTTCTGATCGTACTCCACAGCGGTATCTGGGGATTCCGCACGAAGTCTGTCAAGAACAAGTCGAGTGTATGGGAAATGCCCACAAAACCAACCAACCATACTTACCGAGCGGCGCCTCGACGTACATTCCGAGCTGGTGGCGGATTTGCTGGCCGAATCGGTGGTGGTGGTACGGGAAACATCGGTAGGACACCTCGTAGCACCGGTACTTCAGGCTCGTCTGCGCCATCTGGCGCGTTCCAAGCGCGACGTTGCATTTTTCTGGTGGGATCACTTCAGATGCGAATATCGGTGTTGTCGTTCCTCTTGTCGTCGGCTTGGTGCAGCGCTACTTCCGAGGATCCCACCCTCTCTACTGGCGAAGTATTAAAATGAACTACACCGCGCAAGGATCTTACTCATTGCATGGTTCACTATCTATCATTTTGAAGGGGTGCATGTGTTCTTTGGCGCGATTCCATTTTGCTATTGACGGGCGCTATTCGGGGCTTGGGAGGGGCACTTGCACTCCCACCAGTTACTTTCAAGAGTTCGTGTTAACTGTCTGTTAAAGTCTCGTGACCCTGCTTAGAAGGGCAAGCGAGCCACACTGGTCACAGGCATGCACAGGCCTTTGCAAGGTGACCTGTACGAGCTTCCCTGAGTACCACCGGCTGTCCCCACTAAGCCGAACTCTAACTCCTACTAACGAGCCCAGAAGCGTTTGCGCGTCATACAGGTAGAACCACTCGTTCAAATCACCAAACTATTGGATTTTCCCCACCTACTTAGACTTTGAGACCGAAGCCTGCGTTACCTGCTCAATGCACTCTATCAGCCACAAAAATCTGGTCGACTGGGGCTTTGGAGGAGTTTCCGCCTTGAAGAACTTGTCACATAACTTGTTATACTAGGTAAAGCGACCTCCCATTTTGAGGGCACAAAATTGAATAAAAAAAAAATACGAGTGTCCTTACCACCCTAAACCCACGTCACTAGTCCATTCTGACCATGAGGGAATTCGAGAAGCTGTTGAAAGAAAAGTATACCCTTGTTAGCTGTGAACGATGGGGTGTCTCAAGGGGTGGGGGGAGGCGACAGCAACAGCAACAGCAACTGATGTCGTTTTCTATCAATTGCTGTCGTTTACCCGCTTTCAAAAACTGCTGCAGAACGAGCAGAACGGCGCGCCAAACCCAGCTCCACTGACACGCCCCATCACACAGCCTCATTCGCTGCTTATGATGGGGCGTGTCACCTTCTTGTTTGCTGCGGATGATGGGGCAAGTCAAAGGGCTGGGTTCGGGCCCCAACCCATTTTCCATTGACTTATGAAGCGAGCAGGCGACACTAATTGGTGGAAAACTGGCTGCCCTGCGCCAAACCCAGCTGCCTGCATCCGCAGCAAACAAGGCTATACAGGGGGGGGGCAAAAAAAGTCACTTCGACCGAGTCACATATCAGCAAAGTTTTCGCAGCCCAGACAGAGGACGTGGATACGAGTACCAGGGCGGAAGATACCCAAGATGTTCCTCGATAAGCAGGAGCTGGCTCATCACCTTCATGTACACCAAAATATGAAGTCATCTCCAGTCGCAGCCTGACTGGAGAAGACCTTTGGAATTCATGTCACCTCCAAACAGCTGCGAAACTTCTAGTATGGAGTCACCCATGGATAGCTACCTGGAGACCAGTACTCTCGATCTGGAAGACCTC